GTCCTCCGCAGGCTCCTCATCATTCCAGAAGATGTCATCATCCCCATGGTCCCGCGTTGCGCACCCACGCGCAGCCGCGCCCAATCGCCGCCCCTTCAAAGGCCCCCCATCCCCACGCGCCTGCCCGCCGCGCCGTCTCCTCCCCCTCAACCCCCCGCCCCTCGCCCCCCGCGGCCCGGCCCCGCAGGCCCGCTTCTGCATCAGCACCAACTGCCACCAGTGCCAGGCGCAGCACGTGCGATGGCACTGCGGCTCCCATCTGGCGTCCCTGCCCGCCCTCAAGCGCGCGGCGCTCGAGGAAGCGCGCACGCCAGGCGGCTTCTGGCGGCGGCGACCAAACGAGCGCAACGCGCACGCGTCATATTGCCGCAGGTGACGGCGGGGATGGGTTGCGGCGGGGCTATGGGCAGACGGGGGCAGCCGCAGTGTCGTGGCTGGGGCGCGTGGGGCCGGCTGGTTTCCCTTGCCAGACTGTTGCTTGCTCCTGCTCTGTGGCTGCCGCTGCAGGTTTGCACACATCCTCACACACACATATACACACTTACACACACTCATACACACTAACACATTCTCACACACACACACACACGTGCACGCGCGCACGTGCGCACACACACGCATACAGACACGCATGTACACATGCACACACACTGCGTGTTCGTGTCGCGCAAAAGAAGAACAGACACACACACCCTCCTGCACACACTCACACACACACACACGCATTCGCAATCACCTTTGCATCCCCTCCCCAGGTGCATCGAGTCCTGGTACCCCAGTCTCTCTTTTGACGACGCCGTCGCCTCCTGCCCCTCCTGCCGCGGCGCCTGCACCTGCAAGCCCTGCCTCCGCGCCGGCCTGCCCGCGCTGCAGCTGCCGGCGCAGCCGCCGGAGGCGCAGCTGCGGCACCAGCGCTACGCGCTGCGCCTGATCGCGCCGCACGTGGCGGCCATGCTGGCTGCTGAGGCTGGGCAGGTGGGGTGTTCGCAACACAGGCCCCTCGTCTGTTGGGGATGCGCCTTGTTGTGCTGCGCCACAGGGACGGTTCAGGACGTGGGTGCAGGATTTGATGTCAGGTCTCCATTCCCAGGTCGTCATCTCATCCAGGGTTGGGTTCCCAGGCTTTGATTGCGCGTCTTGATGGCAAGGGGCGATTCGGGGACGTGTGGGCGGGTTTCTAGGCGCACGGCCGCCAGCGGCTGCGGCAACAGGGGATGCGCCTTGTACACAGGCGCATCGGCGGACGCGGGCGCAACTGCAGCAGCAGCAGCAGCAGCAGCAGCAGCAGCAGCAGCAGCAGCAGCAGCAGCAGCAGCAGCAGCAGCAGCAGCAGCAGCAGCACACGCGCC